TCGAAAATGTTTTACAAGCACTAATCAATCTCTCTCTTACACAGGTTTTGCTATCTCTCTAGAAAAAAAGCGTTAACAAGGAATAAGCGTTAACCTAGCTTATATAGAAGAAGAACCCTAATTGGTGTTACACACGTTTCCTCTTCTCTTTGTAATGGACCTTTTGTGCACTTCCAACCCATACGGTTCCTTGTATAATATTTCTGTGTAAACCCAAATGTCAGCCCATGTTATCTGACCGGTTTGGTTTAGAGATTGACTTGGTTCAGATGTTGACCGAGAAGACAATATCATTTCACACGTGCTTAGTTTAATTTGTATACAAATAATTTAGTTTATTATGTTTTTTTGGTCAATAGTTTATTATGACCTTAACGGGGTCTAGTTTAGTTTTAGGCAGTAGCAAAGCTAGAACAATTACTTAACGGGGTCACAATTATCTTTCTATCTAAAACTAAATGGGATAAAGTTGGTTGTGTCTAAACATAACGGGAGCTTTAGAGGCAAATTTCTCCTTGTTATATAAGTGCCCACTTGCATTAGTCAATCCGAATGATATAGACACATGATGCCATCAAATTTGCCTCGAATTACTAACAAATGATGCCATCAACTTTAAGTTTTTCATTGCAAAACAATACCAAAAATACTCATTTTTACTAGATAAACATGCAATTTTAGATTAGTTATTTTTTTGAAAGCTACTACGTCATTTTAGGGTTTGTTGATCATCACACACACGATTCACACCACAAGCAGCCGCCATGGAAGATTCGCAATCGTCTCCTTCACGTAACCTAGTTCACGCCGGAAACTCCACACTATTCATTCTTTTCGATCTCACCATCGAGATACTCTCTAAACTTCCGGTGAAATCTTTCATCCGACTCCAATCCGTTTCAAAACTCTGGTTCTCTATCATCCGCAGCAAAGATTTCACCGACCCGTTCCTGGCTTTGTCTAGGACTCAGCCTCGTCTCCTTTTCACCTTCAAGCACTTTGATTCCCGAAAGCGTTTCATCTTCTCAGCTCCTGAACACAAAACCAACGACAAATCCTCCAGGGTCATGGCCAGACACGACATGACCATCTCTGGTCTTGTCTACTCCATCACGTCTCGTCCCCTAAACGGGTTCGTCTGCTTCTCACGTGGTTCTTCGATCGCTGTTTGTAATCCAACCACGAGACATATAGTAGAACTCTCCCTGATGTTGAATACAACGGAAGAGACATCTACACACGTCTAGGTTACGATCCAGTGGAAGATCAATACAAAGTCTTGTGTGTGATGATGTTCGATGGACACGGCGCGCGTCGTAACAATATCCAACAAGAGCATTTAGTTTGCAACGTAAGATCTGGACAAGAACAAGAGAGGAGAAAGATTGAGACCAACCAAGTAGATCCTTACACACATTTCCACGGTGGTATATGCATCGATGGTGCTATATACTATGGAATTTCACAGTCGAGAATAATTAGATTCGAGTTATTTGGAGCACCCGAAGAATCACACATCTTGGGCCGGCCCTGATTGGAGGTGCTCTTAGATCTCTCTTGCTAGTAACCTTTCTTTTAAATAATATGCATTTATGTGAATTTGAATCAGAGAATTTTAACACGATGACAACATTAACACATATAAGTAAGTAGTGACTAGATTACATATGTTTTGGTAATTAAACAAAATATGTAAGAATACTATTCATGCAATTAAAGGTATATGATATTTTGCCCAAAATCACTACAATTGTTTTTAAAGAATATTTGCAAAATTTTATAAATCACATGCTTTAAAACTTAACACTGTTTTTAAATTTTCATTTATGAAGTTAACGTCTGTTCACTACAAGAAAACAAGCATTATTCCGACGGACGTAATTTCCGTCGGAAATTTCCGACGGTATCTCGACGAATTTCCGAGCAAAATGAATCCGTCGGAAATCCGTCGGTTTATTGTGACGGATTTCCGACAGACACGGAAACCGTCGGTATTCCGTCGGAAATCCGTCGGGACAAGACGACGGATTTCCGACGGAAATAAGCTGTCGTAATTTCCGACGACTTTCCGACGGAATGACGACGGAAATCCGATTTTTCCGGTGTCGGCAAAGTTTGAGTGGTCAGCCCATACCGACGGAACTAATTCCGTCGGAATTCCGATGTCGGCAAAGTTTGA